GGTTACTTGTACACAACTAGAGACAAACAAAGCTATCGATTAAAAAAAAAATACATTAGATACCTTATAGTAACTAAAACTTAATAAATATAGTTATATGCAAGGGAAAAATGTAGAAGAGTGTTTCAGGTACCCTCATAAATGCAAACAAAGCTATCGATTTAAAAAAAATACATTAGAGAACTTATAGTAACTAAAAGCCTAAAGAAATTCAAAAATATATAATAATGCAATATCTAATATCAAATATTTATTTCATGATGAGTTTATATTGATATTTAAGACAGCGAATTAAAATTCTAATAATAAATAATGAAAATCTAAGTTTAACAAGAAAGGAATGCTAAAGTCGAGCAGGCTCAACTCTTAAATACCCTGTACCACCCCACAAAAAAGTAATTTAATTAATTTAATTAAATTAATTAATTAATTTAATTTAATTAATTAATTTAATTTAATTAATTAACTAAATTAATTTAATTAATTAACTAAATATTCCATGCATGCATAGATACATTTACATTTACATCAGAATCGTTTGTGTACTGTACATATGTATGTATGTGTGCATTGGGCCTGGTTATATGGCTATAACTTTCTTTCCAATCATTCTATCATAATGAAACTTGGTATACGGATATACAATTACTAACTGGATGTGTCTACCAAATTTCAGTTCAAAATTCCAAGAATTACGGGAGTTATAGAAAATCGTTAATAGGGGGGGAGTGGGGGGGTGGATCAGAAAAAATGAACAAACTCGTCCTTTCTCGGTCTCAGGAGAATCTGTATACCAGGTTTGGTTATTCTAGCTCTTATACTTTCGGAGATCCTTGCGTTCATACAGACAGACAGACAGACAGACAGACGGACAGACGGACAGACGGACAGACGGACATGGCTATATCGACTCGGCTTGTCATGCTGATCAAGAATATATATACTTTGTGGGGTCTACCAAGCCTCCTTCTGTGTGTTCCATGTGCACTCGCACAAAACTAATATACCCTTGTACCCTTTGGGTACAGGGTATAATAAAATTTCTATTTTTCTTAATACTAAATTACTTTGTAGAATGATTGCCTATAGTATTTATATATAGTATCTATAGTATATTATTACTAGTATATTATTACTAGTACTAGATTTTGTGAAATAAATATTTGAATAAAAAATTAAATTGATAAAAATTAAAATGTATTTCAGTAACTAGTACTCTTGTACTAGTACTACTAGTAATGGGGGAGAGTGTATACTAGAGTATATCTATATTATTACTAGTACTACTGGTGCGTTACTTGTACACAACTAGAGACAAACAAAGCTATCGATTAAAAAAAAAATACATTAGAGAACTTATAGTAACTAAAACTTAATAAATATAGTTATGTGTATGCAAGGGAAAAATGTAGAAGAGTGTTTCAGGTACCCTCATAAATGCAAACAAAGCTATCGATTTAAAAAAAATACATTAGAGAACTTATAGTAACTAAAAGCCTAAAGAAATTCAAAAATATCTAATAATGCAATATCTAATATCAAATATTTATTTCATGATGAGTTTATATTGATATTTAAGACAGCGAATTAAAATTCTAATAATAAATAATGAAAATCTAAGTTTAATAAAATTTCTATTTTTCTTAATACTAAATTACTTTGTAGAATGATTGCCTATAGTATTTATATATAGTATCTATAGTATATTATTACTAGTATATTATTACTAGTACTAGATTTTGTGAAATAAATATTTGAATAAAAAATTAAATTGATAAAAATTAAAATGTATTTCAGTAACTAGTACTCTTGTACTAGTACTACTAGTAATGGGGGAGAGTGTATACTAGAGTATATCTATATTATTACTAGTACTACTGGTGCGTTACTTGTACACAACTAGAGACAAACAAAGCTATCGATTAAAAAAAAAATACATTAGAGAACTTATAGTAACTAAAACTTAATAAATATAGTTATGTGTATGCAAGGGAAAAATATAGAAGAGTGTTTCAGGTACCCTCATAAATGCAAACAAAGCTATCGATTTAAAAAAAAATACATTAGAGAACTTATAGTAACTAAAAGCCTAAAGAAATTCAAAAATATCTAATAATGCAATATCTAATATCAAATATTTATTTCATGATGAGTTTATATTGATTATATTGACAGCGAATTAAAATTCTAATAATAAATAATGAAAATCTAAGTTTAATAAAATTTCTATTTTTCTTAATACTAAATTACTTTGTATAATGATTGCCTATAGTATTTATATATAGTATCTATAGTATATTATTACTAGTATATTATTACTAGTACTAGATTTGAAATATTGTAAAATAAATATTTGATATTAGATATTGCATTATTAGATATTTTTGAATTTCTTTAGGCTTTCAAGTTTTAGTTACTATAAGTTCTCTAATGTATTTTTTTAAATCGATAGCTTTGTTTGTCTCTAGTTGTGCACAAGTAACGCACTAGTAGTACTAGTAATAATATATATATACTCTAGTATATACTCTCCCCCATTACTAGTAGTACTAGTACAAGCGTACTAGTTATTGAAATACATTTTATGCACGATTCAAATCTAGTACTAGTAATAATATAATAATATACTAGTAATAATATAGATATTCTCTAGTATATACTCTTATATACATAAATGAGCAACTAAGCAAACGAAATTAATATTAGTACTAGTACTGTAGCACTAGTTGCGTTCGTTGATTAATTGTGATGGATTTAATGTTTTCCGCTCAGATCGTGTAGGCCATGTGGGTGGAGTTGCAATATATGTAAGCAATCGCTATTCTTCCTTATCTCTCAAAAGTTTTCGAGAACCTAATAGCAAACCAGACTTAATACCAATACTATCCTATGGTGCTGAGGTATATGCAAATTGTGACGCAATTTCATTCCGAAAACTAAAAGTCGCTCACAATAGTGTCGCTCGTTATGTTTTCGGCCTAAGACGCTCTGATCATGTCACCAGCTATGCATACCAACTTTTTGACTTAAGTTTCATGTCTTGGATAAACTTTCGTGTTTTATTATGTTTACAAAAATTGATAAATACTAAGGAACCAGCATACCTGTATCAAAGAATTAAATTTTCCACATCTCTAAGAACCCATAACTTAGTATGTCAGCGACACAGGCTTTTATTATCCGACAGACAATTTTTCATATATGCTGTTCGCACTTGGAATGGACTACCAACATACATAAAAAACATCAGAAACGCTACTCAATTTCGATGTAATATAAAAAGATATCTACAAAATTAGCATTAATAAACTGTCACGATAACAAACATGACATATACAATCATTCTACAAAGTAATTTAGTATTAAGAAAAATAGAAATGTTATTAAACTTAGATTTTCATTATTTATTATTAGAATTTTAATTCGCTGTCTTAAATTTCAATATAAACTCATCAAAACATTAAAAACTAACTAATCCAGTACATATGTAAAACTCTTTATGTGACAGTGCTTTAACATATAAGTAACTCCACTTGTTGCACTAGGAAGTAATCAACAATAAATAAAAAAAATCTCAGAAGGTACAAGAGCTAGAATTACCAAACTTGGCATCCAGGTTCCCCTAAGCCCTAGGCAGGTCAAGTTTGTTTTTATAGCCTGTACCCAAAGGGTGAAAGGCTATACTAGTTTTGTGCGCATGTAACACACAGAGGAGGCGTGGCAGACCCCACAAAGTATATATATTCTTGATCAGGATGAGAAGACGAGTCGATATAGCCATGTCCGTCTGTCCGTCCGTCCGTCTGTATGAACGCAAGGATCTCAGAAAGTATAAGAGCTAGAATAACCAAACTTGGTATCCAGGTTCTCCTAAGTTCGAGAAAGGACGAGTTTGTGTTTTTTTTCTGATGCACCCCTCCACTCCCCCGCAGCTGTTGTTGTTGTTGCTGCTTTGGTTCAACTTTGTGCTGCATACATACGCATATAAACACGCATAGGTACGTGATGTAAATGTATGCTGTTTAAACTGAACATAAACATGTATTCTAATTTAATTTAATTAATTCATTCATTCATTTTTTTAATAATTTAATTTTTTTTTTGTGGAGAGTACAGGCTATTTTACTGTCGGGCTCGACTGTAGCGTTCTATCTTGTTTTATGTAAGTAACTTTCATCAATTAATCAATTAATTCTTGAAGTGAATGCAAGCGCATAAATCTTATTATGGCCCTATTTACATAAATATTATGGCCATGTGTATGTGTGTGTGTGTGTCAGTGAGTAAGAAAATGTAAATATAGCTATAAATTATATGTATATTTGTATGTTTGTGCCCGAACCGATAATAAATCGTAACTTTTAACTGTCACATCTTCCTCATTCAGGCATCCATTCATTCATTCAACTTTTCGTTCCTTCTCAATCTTTTCCAGAACTGCAGGCGACCGCCCGCCCGTCCGCACCACGCCTATGCATACGCCCATTTTCAGGCCCGCGTCCACGCCCACGCCCATGTCCCCGCCCATATTTAGGCCCATGTCTCTAGTAACGACAGCAGTCTCAGCATCAGCAGCCTCAGCAGCCTCCGCAGCCTCAGCAGCATAAATAAATATGATTAAGCTTAAGAATATATAACAAGAAAGTTCAAATGAAATAACGCAATATAAAAACATAAATAAATAAGGCCAACACGACAAGTGAGCAAAGAAAAGCAAAGCAAAGCAAGGCAAGGGAAGGCAAGAAAAGGCAAGGAAAGGTGACGCACCGAGACGAGAAACGAGACGCAGTGACGCAGACAGAAGGAGGCGGCAGGAGTGAGAGACAGAAGTGCAGGAGGAAGTGGCATCTGCCGCATTTAAGAGTAGCAGAGGGAGAGGAGGAGCACCAGCACCAGCATCAGCACCAGCACCAGTAGCAGCAGAAGGAGAAGGAGAAACAGGACAAGAGAGAATCGAGCTCAATTACGCCGCCAAACTGTCGTGTCAGCAACAACGTGAAATGTGCAATTCCTGGCTGCTACTCATAATTGCGCTCACTGTTGTCTGCCTGTGGAACTCGCAACAAACCGAAACATCCAAATCATGCCCAGCCGAGTGCATCTGCTTGTCCCAGACTCAAGTAAGCTTAACAATGTCTGCCCGGCCTCGAGTGGCGGCAGTTGGTGGCACACAGTCAGTACCACAGCCACAGCAACCACTGCCACTGCCACTACCAGAGCCCACTATACTATATATATGTAGTATAAAGCTATAGTTATATACACTTAACCAAAAAAAAAAAATATATATACTGCAAATCAAATTAAAGGCAACTAAACCAAACCGCCTTTTCGTCTGTTCGACTGTATGAACAGCGATAACTTTTAAACCAGTACAGCCACGAGTGCCATACCTTGTATATAGGAAGAATTGTTTTATCCAAACGTAGAGCAAGTTTCTTAGCTTCTTCATTTAGCTGCTATATATACATGGGACTGATCGGGGAAAAAGTCACTCTTAGCAGAATAAATTTTATGTTTTGAAACTATGGTCAGTTATGTTCTGCCGCATAATAATCTGCATTTTACAAAAAATCGGTGAACTTTATCATATCTGTTTATAGGAACGATCGCATAAAAATTAGCACATGTACTATACTTATTAATTGTCTGTTTATTTCAGTATCGTAATCATATTTCGCATTTATATGCGGACAACTATTCCATTCTATTACTGCTGCAAAAAAGTCTACTATTCGTCTCAATTTTTTAAGCTATTATTCAATATATTTCATATTAATTTATGTATACATTTTCCAGTAAAATTAACCCACAATTCATATTCAAAGCACACGGTGCCAGAAACCCCATAATCATACGTAAATGCAATATATTTATTTTTTGTAACAAATCCGATGTATTTTGAAATATATAGTATTTGTTAAGAGGTTAAATAACGATGTGTTGCCCTTGACTATTAAAAACTTCAGGTATTGAATGAACACCCAAAACTGTTCACTTTCCTCTTGATATGTTCTAATGTTGCCTCTTCTTTAAATCTAAAATCTAACGAATGTATGCATTTCTCTGAGTGTACGTACTCATATATGTATGCAAGTGGCATGACAGCCCGCAAGACCGACACAGACACTACTGATGCTGTTGCTGCTGAATGTGATGGCTCTGATAGATGGTACAATGCTGGGTAGTGGGTCGGTGCGGGGGATGCGGGATGCCCGATGAGGGCGGTGGCGGTTGGAGCGTTAGATGGCGCGCACGCATTGGGCGAAGCGTCCATCGGCCTCAGCCAAAACAAAGCTAGCTTGGCGGGGTGGACATGAGAGACTTGAAGCTTGAGCTTTGCTGCTTACACACACACACACACACACACAAACACATAAACAACACCCAGAATTGAAGATATAGAGAGACTCATGCGTTTTGGGAGCTGGAGCTGGTGATGGTGATGGTGATGGTGGTGGCCATGGTCAGACAAGAGTGGTCGCAGCTGGTTCAGCTCTTCTGATTGCCGCCAGTGATGAGCACAAAAATTAAATCGAAAATGAAGGCAAACGGTTGTTTTGCTTTGTTTTGTTTCGTCACATCTCGCAACATCACGCTATGTACACTTGAAGAAATTCATGATCGAGTAAATTGCTAAATTAATTTGAGAAACAAATCTCTCTCTCTCTTCAATTTAGAGATTACAAATGCAAATACAGTCTCTAGAATGCAGTTCTGAAAAATGAAAAATGTCCTTTATTTTCGATACATTTCCTTGGTTGGTTTAATTAGGTGTCGGTTTTTTTGTCGTTTCAAGGTCGCAGATATTTTTACAGTGTATTCTCGTATAAAAATTAATTTGCAAATGGGTTTAATTAGGTATTCTGTCACAGTGTATTTTCGTTCGTATAAAAGTTAATTTGTAAAGAGATATTTCTTTAAGTATTCTCATATTATTAATGCTAGTGTTTCCTAGGCTGACACCGACTCCAAAAATAACAACAAGTCTACCTATGTACATTATTCTTGAAGATATACACAATTATTTGTTACCTTTTTTGTGTTGGAACTGTTTATTTATTGGCTTATTTTTATTGTTAAAATTGTTGTATTAGGATATAGTTTTATTAGAGCAAGAAACCACAGCCAAAATTCTTTTACTCCACAAGCCTTTGTTTCTTAAAATAAACATATTGCAACCAAAGACCATTTAAGAAAGTATGTGTCTGCTTTCCAAACATGATGTTGCGATCTTTGAAGGAATTATGCCAATTTCAGGCGAAAAGTTCACTTCACACAAAGAAGCTTCCCCACAAACAGATCTCGAGGGATTATCTATATGTTCTCGCAATTTCAAGCATTGTTTTTCTGAGTGCAGTTTGTATGTTGCTGGGTGGGTGGGGAGCAGTGGCTCCGGCTCTGGCTTCGACTGTGTCTGGCTCTGTGGACTCCTTGAATGGGCCACCGCATGCCTTCATCGCTTCCACTTGTTACATTGCCACGACGGTGGTCGGTGGTTCCTCATTCCTCACTCCCCCCCTTCCCACTCCTCACTGCTTCACTGCTCAGTGTTCGTATTGTATTTGCTTACGTTGTATTCAATTGTCTCCCGCGAGAGAACGAGCACGCTTAATGCGCATCCTTATTACCAAAGGGGCCGTTCTGCTTGTGGCTGCGACTCTGGCTCTGGCTCTGGCTCTGAATCAGAATCAGAATCTGAGTCTGAATCTGTTTGCTGCCGTAGTCATTTTTACTAAATTGAGAACTTAAGTGATTTCATTATTCCAGATTATGGACAATGAAATGATTTACTCTACACTTCATTCACAATTCACATTTACACTCGCAAACATGAGAAAGGATTGGGTGGTGGATGAATGGAAGGATGGCTGATGGGTATCCTTCACACACACACACATTCCATTTCATGTTGCTTCCAGTTTTTTTTTTTTTGCTCAGCTCAGCTCGGCTCTGATTTTGTTTCTGTTTTATTTAACCGTAGCCTGTATTTAAGATGCAGGACTCTGAGCGCGTTAAATTAGTTCGGACCGTTTCGTTGGCAGTGCCGTTGGCAATAACAACAACAACAATAGCAAAAGGTATAGCATACTTTTACGGGTCAGCCAGTTAAAGCTCACTGTGCAATGGGAGCGGCGACAAAAAGTCGGACGCACACGCCCACACACACACGCAGAAGTCGCAGAATTTTTCAACTGAAAAGAAATTTCATTAAATCGAACAACAGAAGCAAATCTGGCCAACAAATGGCCAAGTCGGCATCGGGAACAGCATGAAGCGGCAACAAAAATAAATAAATAAAAATAAAAACATTCAGAATAGAGCAGGCAGTGCAGAGGGGGAGGCAATGGCGTAGGGGAGAGGCCAGGGGGAGGGTGAAAGAGAGCGAGAGCGAGAGGGTTGGCGCAAGCAGCGCAAAGTGAAAGAAAAGAAACTTTTAATTCGTTCATTTAAAAGGTGAAGCGTATGAAAATTGTGTAAATGTTACGCAAGAAACGCCATCGTCTTGGCTGTCGGATGGGGGAGGTGGCAGGTGGTAGGTGGCTGGGGAGTGAAGAAGTGGTATAAGCTTAAGCCCAGCTATAGGTAGACATAAACAGTCATAGTCGCACAAATAGAGCAAAGAAACAAACTTCCTAGAACTGTGCAAAAAATGATGACATACGTTAATTAGTTTCGTAAGCTTCTCAAATTTCTCATTTCGCACAGAATATTAATTGTTGCTCAAGTCAAATGGTAATTATTCTCAAAAAAATCTACATTTATAAGAAGATAATAAAAGAGAGAGAGAGCAGGAGCTTTGTACAAGACATTTCGTATTGGTTTGCAATTAATGACACAATGGTTCGATATTAAGTCATAATAGTTTTTTATTGCGAAGACTGAAACGATTAGGTTTTTTCAAAACATGTAGATAAGCATAAGCTACCACTAACTTATTAATCCTCGCGCGGAAGTGCTCGACATTGGTCTATTTTATATTTGTAAAAATGTATTGTTAAGGTGCTAATCTGAATGCACGGCTTCAATGCTTTGATTAAACAGAAGAAAAAAGAAAAAAAACTTAATTAATGACTTACTTTTTATTTATTTATTAATTACTTAATAACTACACTACTACAGCAATTTACCTACCTTTTTACTTATTTACTTACCTAATTATTTACAGTGTGTAGGTTTATTATTTATTTTTATTATCAATTATTTATTTACATACTTTCTTACTTATTGCACTTACTTATTTACTTTAGATTCGCATTCATTTCAGTCTCAATTACATTATTGATGTCACAATTCCTATTTCTGTTTCTAAATATAACGATTCGTTTTTTTTTTTTTAATTATTTATTTATATATATACCCGTGAAGCACTAGTTTTGTGTCCAGCACTGTGTAGAATGAAGTGACGATGTATGTCCGGTTTGTGGGCGCAATAAGACGGGAACAGTCTGGAGACAGAGATGCGACATCAGATGCAGGGGACGAGCATAGACAAGCGAACAAATGGACGAATGGACGAATGAACAAACGGTGGGCGGGGGGACAGAGGTGGGGATGGACAAACGGATGGACAAACGCACACATCAGCACATAATAAGTAGTTGTAAAAAATGAAAGCACAAAGCAGGATATAAAACAGAACACAGAAATGGCGGCTAACAGACGGTAAGAACACAATACCCTACCGTCCGCCACCGCCACCGCCTCCGCCTCATCCACCGCCCCACCCCGCGACGATGACAGCCATGACGATGACGATGGCGATGGCGTTGGCGTTGGCGACCAAAATGACGCGGGAAATGCCCCAAAAGAAAAACAAAAAATTCGATTTAATTTTATTTGCAGCAATAAAGCCGCAAATTCAATTTTCACGCAAAGCAAAATAGCATTGAAAAACAAAAACGAAACGAAAAATACAACAACAACAACAACAAAAGCGTCATCGTATAAAAATCAACGCACAAAGCTCTGCCGCTAGACGCATCCAACAGATACTCACACACACACACACACACACACACACATATTTATATATATATATATACACAAATTGGATTTATGTATGTACTATTATATATGGCCGATCAAATTTCTTTGCTCCAACCGAAAACTTGCCCCAAAGTTAAATGCGAGTAGAACGTTAAAATCCTCCTCTCCCATACCTATCCCCTCACCTACCATAGTACGGATGCTGATGTCAATTTTATGAAGCGTTCAAGATTTTGTTACAATATTTTAACAAAATTGCAGCAACTAAGAGTAATTTGTGATACAACTTCAAAATATGCCATGGCATTGAAAAATAATTAATCATGTTTTATTTTGAGGAACTGAAACAATTTCTTCCACTAAAACTGCTGCTCGTAGCAATCGGGCATTTGTTATCTATAACTTATCATGTACCGATCTCAACGGAATCTGAAAATGTTAAGTTAATATAATAACAATGCTTAGATATTTTATTTCATCAACAACACAAGAGCTCTTTCTTTAAGTGTAGTCGTTTCTATGACAATTACTGGTTCTATATGGTAATGGAAACAAACTTAATATGTGTATGGATAATAGTAATCCGCATACCAAGTTTGTTATCACTAGCTGTTATGGTTTAAAAGATAAAGAGGTTCGTACAGACCGACGCACGAACAGACAGGCAGACGTACGGTCGAAAACCACAAAATTAAATTTAAATAATATTTAAGAAGTAGTTATTTGGCTGATTCCAATGAAGCGAAATTTTCTCCTTTTTTTTAAGTGTATTCGTTCCAATGATAAATATTGGTTCTATATAGCATTGGTAACAAAATCTGTATATGTATATATGTAGTTACAATCTGCATACCAAGTTTGTTATCCCTAGCTGTTATGGTTTAAAAGCTAAAGAGGTTCATACAGACCGACAGATGTACGGACGTACAGCTCTACACAAAATTCAATTTAAATAATATTTAACATTTTTTGGTAAAGCTTTTTTAACAAAAACTCATATTGCAATGTTTGTATAGAAGTTCTATTAAAATACATTTTATGATTATTATTTTAAATTTTCCTCTCTCTCTCTTTCTCTATCCGCCTCTCTTTCGCTTAGGTGCTGTGTAACACTGGCGGCTTGGAGCAAATTCCACTTCGACAATTGCCCACAACAGTGGAGAATTTGGCGCTCACAAAAAACAACTTCCCCATCATCAAGCCGGACTCGTTCGCCGGCCTGAGAGCTCTCAAGAAACTATCGCTGGATGGCAATAATATAACGCGCATCAAGCAGTTTGCCTTCCGAGGCCTGCCACGCCTCAAGGAGCTCTCCATACAGTATACACCGCTGCAGACAGTGGCGCAGTTTGCGTTTGCGGGTCTCCAAAATCTTTCGACCATACTGCTCAGCCACAACCAGATCCAGCGCATCGAGGGTAATGCCTTTGCGGGCACCTCCAACGTAAAGCTTATATTGCTGACGAACAATCCGTTGATACGCATCGATAGCTCGGCCTTCTCCAGTCTCACCAATGTCGGTCATCTCATATTGCCCTCTGGGATACGCACGATCGAGCAGGATGCCTTCTTTGGCATGGATGCGGTCGGCTTGCTGAAGCTGGCCTACATGGACCTCAAGGAGATCTCGCCGTTCACCTTTCGCGGCCTTTCCAATGTCCTGCTGCTGACACTGCAGGAGTCCGACTTGGGCATCATCTGTGCCGATGCCTTCACGGGTCTAACCCAGGTGGAGACGCTACAGATACTCAACAACAAGATCGACTCCATTGAGGAGCTCAACTTCACCAACACAGCGGCCATCAAACATCTCAAGTTCCACGGCAATCATGTGCTCGAGACCCCAGATCCTAATGCCATCATTGTTGATGGCGTCGATCATCTCCAGCTGCTGAACAACCACTTCCCCTGTGGCTGCCACATCCACACCCTGCTGGACGGGCCGTTGGCCGAAGGCGCCCACAATCTGAGCGAGTTCCTCCAACGGAATTATTGCATCTCGCCGCTCGAGGTGAATGGTCGGGTGATGAGCGAGCTGGACATAGATACGATCGGTCGCTGCTCGGATCAGCTAACGAAGGGCAACCTCGGCTCCTCCGCGGCCACACTGGCCCTGGGCGTCAACGCCATGCTCCTCATCGCCGTCGCCAGCTGTGCAGAGTGGCGTTATGTGCGTCTGTTGGGTGTACGTCTCGCCCAGCTCTTGGGCCATGTAGCATGGCGACGTCGTCGGAAACGCCGTCGACGCGACTCCCATCTAATCACACACTAAGCTAAATGTAACTCGCTTAATCCTAACCTGAAATCTACCCTACACCTATCCGTAGTAGTTGTAAGTATTAACATGGCTGCATTATCTTTAATCCATTTTTTTTATAAGTACAATACAAACAAAGAACAGAATCGGGTCCGAAATATCCCTCAATTTAATGACTACGAACATATCTATTTTGGACCCGTTTCCCCCTCTGTAGGTTCTATATATATTTGGAAATGTTACAAGATGATTTTATAGCTGCTAAGCTAGAGTTGTCCTTTTCACTCCCATCAGCTCTTCCTTCAAAATGTTACTCACTAGAATATTTAAGAATAATAACAAAGCTGAAACAATTTTTTTTTTTGGAGTAGAATAACATTAGTTTGATGTAAGATCTATATAAGAGCTTTATCAAACAACAAATGCCCAATTCTTAAACAAAAGTCTGCATTTTCAAGACTTTAAATACATTGTTGCTACCCACACGACTCTTTTGTGTCCCACATCAATTCTGCGGGTCCTGAGGTCAGACAGACAAACCTTTTCGAACCCACATAGAGCGCTTGACCACTGTGTGACCAAACTTGGAAGGTAGGATGTCCTATTCTTTTACTTTCCAACTATTCAGTTATTTCACGGATATATATTAATGGCAAGAGTATTCTCATATAAATCACGCTCTGTTCAGACGGACGACAAAATTTGCACACAAATCCGTCCAACTCTAAAAATACAAGTATAGTAGACCATTCAAAGTAATGGCAAAACAATTTATTTTCAGTATAAAATGTTACTCTTGTGCTTGTTTTGCGATTCAAATTCTTTGAATATCTGACGAGTTTGAACTTGTGTGCAAATTATTTGCCTGTCTAACCGTAGCTTAAACTAAAACTATCGCTAAGAAGTTCTCTTTTGAGATTTGCTTGAAGTATACTTGTATTATTTACAATCACAAATTTATTTGTCTAGTCTAGCCATATTTTAATGACGATATATTACTCTGAAGAATTTCTCAATAAATTCTGTTCAAAATGCACTTGAACAGATCTTTCAAATTAGACTTTTAAACGACTTTAGAGGTCAGATGGAGTGGTTTTTTATTTTGTCCAGAACTTTAATCCATTATTGTTGTAACCATATTTGTAAATGACTTCCCAGACTCATGCAGATTGTTCTGGGACATTGAATCAGCTAATGGAAACATGTTTCATGAAACTGTGCTTGCAAATATTTTGCCTGTAGGACCAGAGCTCCAATTAAATGCGAAAATTGACTCGAGGATGCTCGAAGAGAAGCCGAATCCGAGTATGAATTTTTCTTATTCGATTACCATTATCATGACTCTGCTTTTCACACAACCGACCTTAGCCAGCAAGTAAGAGATTCATGGTAGGGCTAGGGCCAGGGCCAGGACTAGTAGGAATGCGGCCTGGCCAAGGACTGGGGGCAGGACTTGTTTGCTGGCTGGCCAAACGTTTTTACGTTTCACTTCAAATGCAAATGGAAATGGAAAATGGTTTCAATGCTTTCTCATCTTTAAATGCATTTAGCGTGGCGTGGCCGACAACAAAAACAACAACTACAAGTAAACGAACAGCAACAATAGCAGCAGCAATAACAACAACAATAACTACAACTACAACAACAACAACAACATTAAGAGTGGCAATAGCAGTCGTTCAATGGCTGTGGCCACCACTGTGTCAAGTTTAGTCGAAGCCGTCATATGCGACCCAAAAGCGTTACAGACCAGTTGTGTGCTTTCGCTCTTGTGGCCGAGCATTTTGGAGGACCGACCAATGGACGGACGGACGGACGGACAGAGCAACCGTCGATTGGGACCCGTCCAGTGCAAAGCAATTGAACTGCTTAAAGGCGCACTGCATCCGAGCTCCGACAATTTCATTGTACGTACTAGTACCCTTTAAGTGCTGTCCCTGCCCCTTGTTTCTAATGGGCTGCAGCGATGGTGTGAATGCTGGAAGGGACAAGGGGCAAGGGGTAGTGGTGGAGAGGTGGAGGGGTACGGGCTATTGCCACTGCTGTGGGTTAGCATACAAAATGAAAACGGAAATTACAAATTCTATTCACTCGCATGGAGGCGGCAGCATGCCGGGAGCAACTCAGATACTCGCACTGCAACTCTAATTCGTCCACCATCGTGTGCTGCGTGTCCTTCGTCCTTCATGCGTCGACACTCAAAGAAAATATGTTCTAAGCGCCACAGAAACCCAACCATTACTTCCTTAAATGTACAGCCGCAATTGACTAATTCTAGGTATCTTTAAGGAAATTCCCGAAAATGGGAATGCATTAAAGGAATTGCGTTAAAGGCTGGCCAAAACAAATAGGTTAGTGTGGAAATAGCCAACGAGCGAGTTCTGCTCATACGCATAAAAAGAGAAAAGCTTTCAAAAAGGCAACAGCATTTCCGGAATTAAGCCGCATTTTCCCAATACCAAGTCTACAAGATTTAGTAGACAAATTTCCCAAGTTAGAAGAATATTTCATGAAAATAATAATATAATCATAACTAAAGTGCAAAATTAGATAAAAAATGATTTCTAATAACAGATAAGATAATACGGAAACAGTTGACTAGTGTACTCATAACTAGGCCCATCCGTTATGATCATCACTTGTGGGTCGCAGAAAATATTCTTTCTTATATCGGATAAGATAATCCGGAACCATAAGATTAGTACGTATACTACTTATATAGTAAACGGGCTAAGACCATCAAGGCATAAGGTGCAGAGGAATACTGCAATCATAACTGAAGGGCCTACATAACGACCTTCATGGCCTACATGGTGACCAAAATTAGAAAGAACTGCTTTCTAATATCAGATTAGGCAATAAAATAACAACAGACTAGCACATATACTATATAGTAGACGACCTAAGACCATCAAGAGACATAAAGTTCTGTTATCAAGCACAGTGCAATAATCAAGGGCGTAGGCAGGGGAAATTTTCGCCAAATAAAGTCGACCAAACTCTTCATTATTATGAAGCACTATTTCGCCTTAAAATGCATCTGAGTTGGATTTCTGGAAGTTTTTTCATTAATCATATGCATAGGTTATTTTTGAAATACGTCGTATTTAATCAAAATTTTATTTTTTGTATACTACTTATATAGTAACCGGCCTAAGACCATCAAGAGACATAATGTTCTGTGGCAAAGCAGGATGCTCGTACTTTTAATTTTCAGCTGCATTTTCTCTCAGTGTAGTAGCTTTGGGCAATGACTGTGGGTTAGTGGGTGTCGTTGGGTCCCTCCCTCTGGCCCTGCCTTTTCTAGTCCCCACAATTGTCGCTGTCGCTTTCCTCACGCGCAGCATAAAATTGTCCGCCTCCCACAAGGGTTGTGGGAATGGCGCCAAAGTTGGAGTTAGGTGTGGGGAAAGGGTTGGGAAGGGTTGTCGCCGTCATCGTCATCGTTGTCGTTGGGGACGGCGACAGTGGCGGCTGCTTTTGCCATTCTTTAGCCGCTTATCGCAAAGGATTTAGATTTATCTGACTTGATTATGATGCTAAGCATTCTTTACACATACACGCGTGCATGGCGGCCCTTGGTTGAGTGGCCGCTTTGGGTGCTGAGGGCGGCTCCGAAACAAATGCGCTGAGAAATCATTGAAGGAAATTAAAACTTTCTTTATTTTAAAGTGCGACCCCATTGCTGGTACGTCTGTCCGACCGTCCAACCGTCCGCCCGCCGGTCCTTTGGATTTACATTTTCATTCCTATTTCCATTTTCTGCGAAGCACATTTCATTGCTCTTTGTTATTGTCGTTATTGCTGTTGTTATTGTTGTTGTTCTTGTCGTTGCTGTTGTTGTTGTTGTTCTTCTTCTTGTCAGCGTTTAACTAATCTGGGCACGCCATTTGAACAATGAGTTAATTAAAGAACCATGCGGTGAGCTAAACTTAAGGATTGCCTTCATTTGGTTTGGTTTCCTTCCGATTGGATTGCATGGGATCGTTTCACCAATATCTTTGCCAAAACTACTCTTATTATAGCCATGCAGGCACAACCATTTAAAAATCTGTTTTTATTCTTAGAATAAATGGTCTTTGAACATTTTCTAATACTTTTTGGTCAAAATTGATACATGTTTTCCATAAAAAAAAACGACTAAATCAGACCAATAAGGTCCTATCTCCCAATTCTTATAGCAATGGTAAATTCAATTAGTTATGAATTCTCTAAAGCGTATCAGATAGTCCTTATTCAAGTCAACAACATTATTAATAATATCGTACATTTTTCGTATAGAAAATATAATCTTCAGTTCAGAGTTCTCTTACGAGTTTCTCAATCCATGCGGTAGAGCTGTAAAGCTTAATAGCTGATCTTCTATAGTCTATCGCCATCGATGCTATAGTCTAACAATAACCATATAGTTCAGCTATTAGACTATAGATAGTCGTCGAGTATATCTAAGTCTTCAATAATATAGCTAGTATCGTATATTTTTCGCATAAACCTCTAATACGTATAGAAAGCAAAATTTGTTATAAAATAAAAGTACAAACCGCTGCCGAAGTTTAAATGAACAACAGCAATTATTTGTTTGATCACAGCCTTATTAAATTATATGATATTTTCATATAGGTCTTGGGGCTTTTTCATGCTGCTGAAGTTAATTTTCGATTTCCTGAAACACATATATCTATATTATAAAAAAATGTTACTCACATTCTTATGATCGATTAGTTAAACGAAAAAATGCAAAATGCTTAATTCTAGATGATAACAGCTTTACTTTTTGAAGAATATGCTAATTTTGAAGTCTTAGACTTCAATTTTAACTTCGCAAGATGCTTCAGCCTAGTAACTTGGAAACTTTTTTGATATTTTCGTATGTTAAAGAAGTTTTTGTTTATAATAAGCCAACAACTGTAGTTCGGTGTCAGCTCAACACAATATTCAATTCTTTCTTTCCAAAACGGAGCCAATTGCCGTGAAAATAAGGCTGGCAGTCTGTGGCACTTAAATAACGGTGGAAA